CACCTCTAGTTTGGAGTGCTTATTAAAAAACAAAGGCACATTTCCTAGAAACTGAACTTTACATAAACTAGCAAAAATAATCAGTTTAGAAATAGCAGTAGGTAAGCTTGATAAGATAGCAGGTTCAAAGTCAAACGTTTTGAAGAGGTTCCCTGAACAGCAAGGCTTGGGTTTCACTGGTTCTTCAAGAAGAAGCGCTCCACGGGATGATGTTGATGATGACGATGACGATGATTAGCCGCAAGCTAATCCCTATGGCCCACATCTTGCAGTTCTTCCGCCAAGACCTCTCTTCAACTTGGCAGCCTTGTTTCAAATTGAGAAGCTCCTGCTTCCAGCGCGTCCCCACGGTCGTCTAACTCAGAGAGCTTCTGGTCTCTTTCCCTCCCTTATCCACGCTGACTCTACTATGTCCACCCCCTGCTCTGTTTGATTTTGTGTCTGCTGAAGGCTTCGGTTGCTGCCAGGGGCAGCACTCGATCCGGCAGACATTTTGGCGGTGGTGGTGATGGCGACGACAGCGGGTGAGGACCTGCCGAGCTCTGCAGCCCACACCCGAAGCTGGGGAGGTCTTTTTTCTTTTGAATTTTTGGAAGGGGAAAATTACAGGAAGTTTTAGATAATTAATTTAAACTTGTTACATTGTTTCATTTTCAGGATAAACAATATTTCAGCTTGGGATGAAAATATTTCCAACAGTTTATTAAGATAGTGACTGTGTTTTACTTTAGGAAAATTGTTATGTACCAAGATGGGCGTGTTTGTGTGAAAAGACTTCAAAATTGAATTAAAATACTTAAATTTAAAAGTGGTTGTGTATTTGGTATACCCCAGGTTCAGCAGTAATCAATTCTTTGTTTTTTTTACAGTAAGTAATCCATTCTTAAACAACAACAAAAAAGCCCCAAAAGTAAATACAGAAAAGAATGTCTTTCTCTGGCATCTATATTCCTGAAGCAGAGATTTCATCACTGGTTTAACTCTCCAGCACTTTGAATGATTTTCTGTACATACTAGATACTCAGTAACTAGCTGAAATAATGACCACTGTTCTGTCATGATGGAATTTTGTGTTAGAGATGGGATGTCCAGCATTTTAAGAGCTATCCAGTAGTTTTATTATTTATTTATGTATTACTTGAGACAGCGTCTTGCTATGTAGTTCAGTCTGGCCTTGAATTCACTAAGTGGCATCAAACTAGCAGCCATCCTCCTGCCTCAGCCTCTTGAGTGCTCACAGGCATGTGCCACCATGCCCAATGGGTGCTATCCATTGGTTTTTGTTTTGTTTTCTTGGTACTGTGTATTGAATTCAGGAGGCTGGCCTCTAATTTGTGTCCTCAGCCTCACAAATGGCTGAGATTACCATGTTTGGTCCCACATCTGCTAAATTTTTTTTTTTTTTTTTTTGAGTCAGGGTCTCGCTGTGTAGTTCAGGTTGATTTGAACTCACTCTAGAGCCCAAGCGGTCCTTTAACTCAAGTGATCTTCCTGCCTCAGCCTCCGAAGTGCTGGGATTACAGGTGTGCACCACCACACCTGGCCCCTTACATGAACTTCTGAAGATGGGTCTCTGAATAGTTCCCCCTTCTGTGTGTCCCTCCTTATAGGTTCCAACTTTTGAGCTGTTTCCCCCTATAACGTCCATCTTCTCAACTCTGCAGAACCACTCTGCTCTGTTCTGCCTCTGGCCTTTTCACACCACAGGGTGCTAGGTGACCTGAAGGCTCACTGGCTGCGTCCCTTCTCTCAGATTCATCTTGTGCTGCGTGAGAACAGCTGCCTAGGGTATCTTGTCTAGTCCTATGGTTGCTACTAATCCAAGAGGGCCTCCTCCAGTTATTCATTATGGTCAGCAGCAGAAGTCCTCCTTCCCTTGTACTGTATTTTGAAGTGAAAATAAGGGAAAAGCAGTAACACTTTCAGGTAGCAAAACCAAGAAAGTATTTTCTGAGCGTGGCAAGGTGCCTTATACCTATAATCTCAGCTACACAGGAGGTTGAAGCCAGATGATGCAATTTTGAGACCAGCCCCGGGGAAACTGAAAACAGATTTTGTCTCAGAATAAAATAAAGCAGGCTGACGATGCCATGTCGCTCCGCGGTAGAGTGCTCCCCTAGCAGGGATTCAGTCCCCAGCACGGGTGGGGGTGGATGTGCGGGAGAGAAAAAGAACAAAGGAAACTTCCAGAAGCCACAGTTAAGTTTAGGAGGGGGAGATGGCTGATAGAATGAAGGTAAAAAGAGGAGAAAAGCAGAACCGGAAGATGTTGAAACAAAATCCTGGCAGCACCTCGTTTTCAGTCGTCCTCAAGTCCAGGGGCCTCGCACACTTTTCTTACGTGGACCACGACATTTCCTTTTGGGGGGGCATGGGGGGTTAGTTGTGAAGATAGTCTAAAAAGGAACTGGCTTGGGTTTGACGGGAACAATGAGAACTGAAGATCGATGGCCCACATGGGATGCTAAGGCTCAATCAGCTTTATCTCACTGGAGCCGTGGGGCCACACTCAGGGAGCGGAAGCTTCTAAGGTCAGCAGATACGATTGCTAACTGCCTCACAAGTACTTTTTTTTACGCGGGGGGGGGGGGGGGGGGGGGGAGGGCGAAGGGGAGTCTGTTTTTTATAGATTCTGTCTCACACTGTAGCAAATTTTGTTATTAACATGACTATACAGATGAAAAAAGACAATTTTAACATAGCATAAAAGTAAAGCAACATATTTCAGAAATATTTTGAAGTCCTACCCATGTTTTCTCTGGAGCCACCTGGCACGTGTACGTTACAGCCTGCACTTTCACCTGATGGTCAGCAGCAACCACCTGAGCTTCCGAGGCTCTTCCTACGATGTCCCTCCAGGCCTCTCTCTGGCTTTATCCCTCCCCCTTGCTCACTGTATCCCAGCCAGAACATCAGAAACAGTCGTGAAGTGTATGTTGAGTGAAGACCTTGAAACTTTGGGACTTTGTTTTATTTTTAATAGTTCTTTATCACTGTTTATAATTACCTGGTTCATTTGTTTGCTTGTGTATTATCTGACCACCCCTACTTGAACACAAACCCCAGAACAGACCTGGTCTGTCTAATCCGCTTCTCTTGCCACCTGGAAAGGCGCTGGATGCACCTAAACGGTATTCAGTACCTGTTACGTACACTGGCCCTGCAGTGAACAGCCTTCGTGTAAAACTTTCTGCTCTTCTAGTTTAGCTGAACTTTTTTTTTTTTTTTTGGTACCAGGAATCGGCCTCAGGACCTTGCACTTGCCAGGCAGGCGCTTGTGTCACTGAGCTATATCCCTGGTCCTTAACTTAACTTAAAATGACTAAGTTTACTCAAATTTCAGTGTTAAAATGTAACATGACTTATTTAAGTGAATGTTAACAGAATCAGCAAAACAGTGAAGTAAGTTTAATTTTTAATTTATTAGAACCCAGTAAGTGATGATTTTAAAAGCAGAGTTCTCATCAAATTAACACTTAATTCAGGGCAAAAATACATTTAAAAAACCTAAATCTTAAGGCAGAAGTAAAACATTATAAAAACCAGCATGTCTATTACAGATTGTAGAATGTCAGATTTTTAAGAGAGTCACATAGTATTTTATAGCACTAAAATGTGTTAATACAATCAGAAATATTATCCATTGGTCCAAGATTTCTGAGCCTGTGAAATGCCTCAGCTGCTAATTGAAGAAATTCTGCTGTGTAAGTAACAGCTACCACATAACCAAATGATCACTTTTTATGTCAAAGGAACTAAGGTAGGTAATTTTATGGTTTTCATTTGTAAAAGTTTTAAAATATTAAATATGAAGTATTACTAGGAATATTTTTAGATTTATCTCCCCATGCTAATCCCCAAAGGATGTATATCGCTTCCCTTTAACTCCATTAAAAAATTCTGTGAACTGCTAATACTTATTCACTGTAGGCCCGTCCTGATAATGAAGGCATAAATTACTTACTTTGATATGGTAGAAAAAATTGTAGTCAATGACTGCATTTATTTCTGGTCATTAAATAACTTCAAAATGAAGTAAAAAACATTTTGCACCTCAACAAGTGAACAATCTATTTCTACAGATTTCAACTATGACTGGAACTTGGGGGTGGGAGGCAGGGAGATTTCGGGTTTGTCTGTCTGTTTTGTGGTGCTGGGGAGCAACTAGGCAAGTGCTCTATCACTCAGCGCTACTTCCAGCCCAATATTTCATACTTATAGCTAATTAACAGCAGCTCTTCTGAAGAACAAGCTTAACAAACTTCACTTTCTTTCACGATCAATACCTTTTGTTTTGGGGGCATGGGATAAGATGTAAAAGTGCTTTAATCAGAAAACAAGGATTAGCTTATCACGTAAGTAGCTTATACATTCTACTGGATAGTGTCAAAAAAGACAAAATGTATGTAATTTTTTTAAGTCTAGCAAATATGAGGTTGATGGTATCTTAACTAACATTGTAATTACAAAGATTCCTTTTTATTACAAACTTTAAGCTATTATTATAAAACAGCTATAGACCTCACTGTACTTCTATCCTTACTTTTGCATTAATAAAAACTTGTTAAAATTCTTTATGTAGTATTCCTGAAAAAAAATCTAGTCAAAGAAAATCACTAAAACTACCAAGAGGGCTTTGAAATACGATTGCAGACTCATTTCTAAGTAGATTTAGCCCCTTCCAGGACCTGGCATTTAAATCATGAATATCTTCACCAATGCAAACTGCGAAAATAAAACGGTAGTCAGTGCTGACTATAGTTGACCAGTACGGGTATTATGGGAAAAAACCCTGAAAATGCATTCAACAGTTTCAAGCTAAGTAAGAATGACTGATAAATATTTATGTCTTTGAAGGTTCTCTTAAATTCCACGAGTCCTCAACTGAAAGCGAATCTGCCAAAACACATGGGCACTTATATAACATAAAAGGAGTAAGAAGGTGATTCTGTATACATGTTGTACGTTTGGCATTCAGTTGCCCCTCATTTGTGTAACTACTGTAGGCACCACTCCTTGAAGAGCATGAAATGAAAAGTAGACAGAACAGAACACCTGTCAGGCTAACAGGAGTATATTAGTGTATAAAATCTTTTCAGTTGAGTGACTTCTCACTGTGGTTATGCTATGTGCAGCATATAACCTGTACATGATGCTCTCTTGCTATCTGTGGAAAAAATTAAGCTTAATAAAATGTGAAATATACATTAGTTTGCTTTAAATGCAAAGATCAACTGTTTTTGGCTCAATTGTATCATAACCAAAAAAGTCTCTGCTTTGATAATACAATATGAAAAAGTTCACATATGTACATGGGTACATTCCTTCATTAGAGTTTTTCTTTAAATCTACCTCAATGTATCTTTACAACCGATACAACTGATCTTTACAGCAACAGTCAAAAATGACAAGTGATTCCGTCTCACAGCACTTTAGGTTGTGCGGCATTTCCCTTTAGGGTTTAAAGGACGTCATTGAAGCGCTGCTTTCCGTAGTCTGCAGGATCCATCTGAAGCTCTCGTTCTTCATCATCTGTAGGGAAAATAAGTATACATCAAGAACAGCATTTTTAAAATCACTGGAGAAATCCAATTTAAAATGTTTCCATTATTTTCAGCCTTAAGATCATTTTTTCTTGTTATTTCTCACCTAATGTAAACAGTGCTGAATTCTTGGTTGGTTGGCTGAGAGTGCTAAGTCTGTTTTGGAAGATTACTTAATTTAAACAAATCTTCGGATGACAGATACAGATGCAGAGCTAGATAAAACATACATAGCTAGCAAAACTTTGGGAATCCACAACATCGAGGAGTTAATCCCCTCACACACATATTTCTATGTATATGAAAGTTCAGCCCCTTAACTAAGCTTTGGTAGAAAGAAACACTTCTATGTATATTTTATGTGTTTTAAAAGACAAAGTCTTTTCTAATTTTAGAATTAACCTGTATCAGTCATATAAAAATTAGAAAATAAAAGAGGAAAATAAAAATCATTCATAATCCCAACACTTAACATTGCATTTTATCACGAATTTCTGTGCTTGTTTGCAGATATCTTACCCTTGACTTCCTAAATGAAGTATGCTAACCAAAATTTAACCTTTTTTAGCACAAAGAAAAAGAAATCTTAAATGGCATCATTAGTAAGATCCTCAAAGCTTCTTTGTATAACCTTATTAAATACATAACTCCAAACAGTGCTTGAGGAATTTGACTGACAGGTTTTTTGTCTCCTTGGTTAGCAGCTGTTATTCTGTACTGTTGTCAGTTATCCGCCAGCAGCAATCCTTTTCTTCAAAATTCTGGTGTAAACCACAGGTTTTGAAATGATATTGTTCTAAACAATTAAAATTATGTTAGAATAACAATGAAAAGTATTGAGATCTGAGCCTGGAAGACTTCCTTCGGAGGGCATGGCCTTTTAGACTTTTTTTTGAGGGGGGGGTATTGGGAATCAAACTCAGGACCTTGCACTTGCCAGGCAGGTGCTGTGCCACTGAGCTACATCCCCAGTCCTAGACATTCTTATTTTAGGTTTAAAATTTTGTTCTTTCAGAAGTGACAGCCAGAGCACCTGCCTAGCATGCATGAGGCCCTGGATTCAATCCCAAGAACTAAAGGGGAAAAAATTATTAATCCAATTCGCTTCTTCTTTTCAACAACTTCCCTATGAATGTGTTAACAGCAGGGCCGCATATGCATTACTGTCCCATCTCACGGCTTGGACCACCTGATGGGACTGTCCCATGGCACCTGATGGGACAGTCGTGTGTATCACTGGTGATTCAACCCAGTGGGAATGTGGTGTTTAACTTATAGAAGTTCTCATGCAGAACTGCAGGAAACCATTTTGTACCATATTCTTAAACTGTTCACCTACCTTTAGTAATATGATCTACTAGGTATGATAACTCCAAATCTGTTATTACATGTATAAAAGGCTGAAATTATATCTTTATTCACATTTGGATTTTGTAAACATGCTAATCATTTTTTTTAGAGTTTTTTTGAGACAGGGTTTTGCTATGTAGTCCAGGTTGGTCTTAAACTTACTATGTGGCCCAGGTTAGCCTTGAACTCACAGCAGTCTTCCTCCCTTAGCCTCCCAAGTGCTGATATTACAGATATGCACCACCACTGCCAGTCACTAATCAACTTCTTATAAAAAAACCTCACTGTATTTCAAACTATTATCTTTGGTTTTAAAAGGGAAATAATCATGGGCACCCAGGTATGGTGGTTCATACCTGTAATCCCAGCACTCCGGGAGGCTGAGGCAAATGGATCCTAAATTTGAACACAGCCTGGGTAACTTAATGACTCTGGGACATCTTGTCTCAAAATAAAAAAAAAAGAAAAAAGGGCTAAGGTTATAGTTCAGCATAAAGGTCCTGGTTTTAATCTGCAGTACTGGTGGTGGTGGTGGTGGTGGATTGCTGGCACTTTTTCAGAAAGCTCTCCCTAGAGTCCATCTTTTTTTATTTGTATCAGGAATGTACTCACAGCCTTGTGCTTGCCAGGCAGGCGACTGTGCCAATGAGCTATATCCCCGGCACCCTACAGTCCATCTTATAAGACCTCATCTTATGGCTGTGAGTGCATCCTTTCATCCTTTAAGACATTAGTAGTTAGATGGAGATGTAATTACTAATGAGCAATGGAATATTTCTAGAAATTTATCAGGAAAGTTATTGAAAGAAAAAAATGTTAGTTCTTTAGATTTTTAAATGAATAAATGTAAAGAGAAAATGAGACATGAGCAAAGGTCTAGGGATAGAAAAACTGAAACCTGTTCCTGGTACCTGTTCCAGATCCTTAACAAATATGATCTAATTCCTACATGTCTTTGGACCTCTAATTATCTTCTCAGTAATTCAAAGAAGAAGAATTTGAAGAGGGAAATTTTTAAGTTAATCCTTGTTTGTGGTGTTCCAAAGATGGAACATTAGGTATAAATGGGTTAATAATGCTCTCACATTGTTTTTCAGAATTTCATAGGACTTTTCAAATAGGAATTGAGCTACCACTTACATTAACTAGAGTCCATTTTCAGTGTAACTATTCTACCCAGAATTCAAGTTTCAGTCAACAACCTCTTTATATTTATCTGTCAAGCATTATGAAATTATCTGACCAAATTTGATATGGGATAAGATAAACAATAAACATAATTAAATGGAATATAATTCTAGATCCTTTTTTTTTTTTTTTTTTTTTTTTTTTTGGTCTTTTTGAGACAGGGTCTCGCTATGCAGTTCAGACTGGCCTTGAGCTCACTTTGTAGCCCAGGCTGGTCTTGAATTCCCAACAATCCTCCTGCCTCAGCCTCCTGAGTGCTGGAATTACAGGCCTGCGCCATCATGCCCAGCAATTCTAGTTCATTTTATATTTTATTTATTTACTTATTTATTTTTTTGAGTACTAGGGATTGAACCCAGAGATTGCACTGAGTTACATTCCCTAGCCCTTTTTTCTTTCTTTCTTTTGTTCAGGCTGGCCTTGAACTCAGTAGGCTGGCCTCCGGCAATCCTGTCTCAGCCTCCTGATCTAGTTCATTTTAGAAAGCAGTAAAACCTGTAAGCTAATTAAGGTAAAATTACTATGAAAGGAAATATAAAGATGTTCCCATTTTATTAAATAATTTCTAAATTTCCTGTGAATTCAAGAAACTACTGTTTCCACAAAAAAGTTCTACCAAGCAAGAATTTGGGGCAGTAAGCTCCATAAAGGAAGTACAAGTTAATCCACAGGAATTAAGTATAATTATCTTCTAAAACAGGTAACCCAGACAAAAACTTCTACATTTCATTTTACTTTGCAAAATTATTTTATTCAACAAATACTTATGTAGTGCTCACAGTGTGACAGTCTGCCTTAAGTGCTGAACAAATACTAAATTATTTAACCCATATAACAACTACTGAGTTAGATTAACTATTCCTGTTTTATAGTTGAAATTAAGGCAGAAAAGTTAGGTAATTCACAAGCTCACAAAGCTAGTATAATGGAAGTAGGACTTGAATCCTGGCAGTGTGGCCCAGAATGCAGGCATTTAAGCACAATGCTAAGCTTCCTGCAGATATACAAGGAGTGACTGAAAAATACAGTGAATGTGTAAGTTAAAAAAAAAGTATTACAGTAAAAAAAACCCTTTGCTGGGCCAGGGATATAGCTCAGTGGCACAAGTGCCTGCCTGGCAAGTGCAAGGTCCTGAGTTGGATTCCCAGTTAAACAAACAAACAAACAAAAAAATTGCTATTAATCCCCCTCAAAGTACGATCCTTCATTTCAAACACATGCCATCATTCTGGTCACTTTCTGGAAGTCCTCTTCTGTGAGACTTCAGGAGGTGGTGTCAAAAATATGGCAACTGTTGCAGCCAAATACATCCACTGGAAAGGTGGGCTTGTGCAAGCATTATGGTGCGCCCTCCTCCACCTTTATCGCGGGGTCTGCTACCACAGGACTTCCGGCTCCTCCCCAAAGTCAAAATGACCATGAACTCCCTACTGGTGGACGTGCTGCCAAACTGCATTTCACAATCCAGAAATTTGGAGATCAAAGCCGGAGCTTTCTTGGCTAAAAACTTTAAACTGTAGCCACAATCTCTAATCCTAGGGAACTCACAGCTTGAGAAAAAACGTATCCCACTACCCAAAACAGTAGTAAAAAACCTTTAGGCAAGAGAATCTTTATAGTACTTCTCAAGTGCATGATTCAATTTTTTTTATCTTTGGCTGGAAAATTTCGAGGGTTTCAGTAAAGTTTTTACTTTCTCCCCTGGATTTGGGAATAGATGTGTTTCAGGCACCCTGAAATCTGAAACATACTTTCCCACGTTACTTGAGTTTTACATATAATAGCTGCACAGTAAATTTGGACACAGAATTTTTTTGTTTTGTTTTGTTTTGTTTCTGTTTTTCTTCGGGTACCAGGAATCAAACTCACAACCTTGTGCTTGCCAGGCAGGCGCTTTGCCGCTGAGCTAAATCCTGAGCCCCTGGGCACAGAATTTTATAACTGAGAAGGACCATCACTCTCATATACAGATGAGGAAATTGTGGTCCAGAGAGTTTAAATGCCATAAGAAGCAACATGCAGCCTGTTCCTTGACTGTCAGTCCAGTGGTTTTTACTGCTTTTTTTAACTGCCTGTTCTGGCTGTGAGAGCAAACCAAACTGGAAACCTGTTACTTCTACACTGGCACAATGAAGAAATGTTTATACATACGTATTCTGACTTAAGAATAAACATTTGAAATCAAACTTATTGATAAATTGGTTTTGTTTGTCTTTTTTTTTTTTTTTGAGACAGGGTCTCACTATGCAGTTCAGGCTGGCCTTGAGCTCACTTTGCAGCCCAGGCTGGCCTCAAACTCTCCATGATCCTCCTGACTCAGCCTTCCTAGTGCTGGGATTACGGGCGTGCTCCACCATGCCCAGCCTTGTTGATAAATTGGACACAGCCACAATTCCTTCTCCCCCTTTCGTGGACAGTTATATTTAGAATTAAATATCCTTTTTTTAGTCAGTTTATACACTTATCCCTCTTTATTTCCTAGCACTGATACTTTTACCATCCTTCTGCCCTCTACGATAAAGAAGTTCCCTTTCTATCTGCCCTATCTTCTTGCCACTATGGTCTAATAAACCCCAGGATGAGATAAGAAACATTAAATGGAAACTTTAAGTTCAAGTAAGAGTCACTTGCAAATAAGGAAATCTAAACATTTAACAGTCTCCTCCCTACTTCCCGAGGACATCGTGATAGGTCATTTCTTTATATTCCACAGAATCAGTGAATTTATTTTCTTGTGGAAGGAAAAGCAGGACAGTGAAAGTTCCAGGGACCTGAAGTGGAAGATGGCAAAGAGGAACAGGAGTGGGTAAGGAAAATGGTACCAGAAAGGGAGAAAGAAGGCACTGAAAATAAACTTACTACTGTGGATAAAACCCATAAAAAGATTCAATTGAAATTTTGTGAAAAAACTCGTCAGTTCTAAGACAGCTAAAAAAAATACAAGGAAGTTGTTATCAAGAATGGCTGAAGTTAACTGCTATAAGAAACCCCTCAATATTACCCAATGAGATGATACAAAATCCTTGAGGAAAAAAATTGGAGAATATTCAAATTGGAAACGAAGCAAACTTTTAAGACCAGAAGTTAAAGTGTTATTACCCAAATCACAGTTATAAGAACAAAAGTTTGATGGGAAAAGCATAAAATTATGAGTTAATGATATTGTGAGCCTTGTGTACAAAGGCCCATGGGAAGGTGACTATGAAGGCAGCAAGGCTATATACAGAGTAGAAGACAAAATCAATGACAATGCCTGCCCTCCAAAGCTTACAGGCTAAGCAATATATAGTATACATGCATGAAAAAGCCTTGAAGTATGCACAATTGCAAAAAAATGCAATCAAAACAAATCACAAAATGAGAAAAAAGATAAAATTTATTAAAAAGGGATAAGACTATATAAAGAATGAAATTTGTCTGATACAACCAAAATGCATTTGAGAATCATTGATACATCCTTGTATATATCCTAGCACTTATCAATCTATCTCCAATAATCGTATTTTTCCAAAAAGTAGAATGTACTATTAAAACAATAACAAGGGAGGAGTCAGAGTCTCCAGTGTCCCTTTTTGTAAATTATTTATTTTTCTGTTACTATGGATTGAACTCAGGGGCATTTTACCACTCAGCTACACCCCCAACCCTTTTTATTTTGAGACAGGGTCTTGTAATTGCCTAGGCTGCATTAAACGTGCTGTTTTCCTGCCTTGGCCTCCCGAGTAGCTGGGATTATGAGCATGTACCATCCTGCCCAACTTCTAGTTTCCCTTTTTTTTTTTTTTTTTTTTGGTGTTTTTGAGACAGGCTCTTGCTATGCAGTTCAGGCTGGCCTTGAGCTTACTTTGTAGCCCAGGCTGGCCTTGAACTTGCAAGATCCTCCTGCCTCAGCCTCCTGAGTGCTGGGATTATAGGTGTGTACCACCATGCCTGGCTTAGTTTCCCTTTTTTTTTTTTTGGTTTTGGTTTTTCTCCGGTACCGGGAACCGAACTCATGACCTTGCACTTGCCAGGCAGGTGCTTTTGCCGCTGAGCTAAATCCCCAGCCCCTAGTTTCCTTTTTGACAGAGCACTCTAGATCAAGTATATTTTCTTCTAAGTTTTGAAAAACAATTTTTAATGTGAACATAAATTAAAATATAATTACTGTAAAGAGAGCTAAGAAAGAAATCAAAACATTTATAGTGAAAATAATTTTCATGCATCATATTATAAAAATCTTATATATTGCACCCTAAGGTCATAATCAAATTTTATAGAAAAAGTTTTAAAACTCCACAAATAACTATTTGAACAATAAGCAGACAAAAAACAAGCCTAAAAGCTTGCAATAAAGCAAATATACTCTGCTATGCATGCATGGGTGGGGCTGCATGCACACAGGTAGATTCTGAACTTTTATGAAGTTAAAAGCTCAGAAGTAACAGTTAGCAAGAAAAACATATTGAATCTGTGTATTCAACATAAAAATGTATTTTTACAAACTTATTACTAAATACAAATTTTAAGCCTCTCAGAAAAACTTTCACAACATTTCTATGCTGTTTCAGTGGTGAAATAATTTCAGCTGCAGTATAAGGGAGCTCATTCCTTTGGTGGCTTTCCTTATCACAAAAGGGCTGCCTGAGCCATACTTTTACGTAGAACAATGCAACGTTTTCAGATGAGAAACTGGAAAATAATTACTTTCTAGAAGCATTTGTCTAGAGTCATTCTAAAAGTCTGTGAGGATTCTGAGTTCCAAATTATATAATAACTAAAATTTTTTAAAAAGTAAAGTTACTGATAGATGTATTAATCATAAAAGTATTCAAAGCAAAACTTAAAAAACTGCACAGAACTTCTTTGAATTAATATTAAGATTAAATGACTATAGTATAGGTGGGGGAAATGCTACACAAATTCAACCAAAAAATTTAGAGGTGGGTTTCACGGTCACAGCATGGAGGCCACGCCCACGCTCACCTTGGACGTCTTCCTCTCCACCATCACCATCTTCTTCCTCATTGTAAGCCAGCTCAGCCTGCTTGTCTGCCTCATACTCACCTACGTTACCATCATCCCCATTATAATCCGCCAGTTTAGAGCCATGCTGCGGATCAACAGGGGATTCATTTTCATCAAAGAACCGGCCTGTGAAGTAGGTACAGGATTAATTATGGAGCAAAGAGAGAAGAAAAGAAGGGACCTATACTGAAGGCAGAGCAGAGAGGAGACAAGTGAAATACGGCCACGTTCAGGGTACTGGTTATAGAAAGAAAACACCATCAAGGTTATCCTAGACAGCACTGAACAAGAGTGAAAATCCTAAAAACATTGTTTTCTTTCTTTCTTTTTTTTTTTCTTTTTTTTTGAGGTACTGGATATTAAACTGAAGGCCTTAGCATGTGCTAGGCAAGAGCTTTACCACTGAGCTATTTCAGCAGACCCCTGTTCCCCCACCCCACCGTTTTTTGAGGCTGGATCTCACTAAGTTGCCCAGACAGGCCTTGACCTTGTGATCCTCTTGCCTTAGCCTCCCCGGAAGCTGTGATTACAGGAGCATGCCATCATGCCAGGTTTGAAAATAACTTTTATTTAAGAATTTCTCTTTGTTTAGTACTTGCTACTTAAGATTTGAATCCTTTCATAAAGAAAAGGGCACTATTTTTAGGATTGTTTTCCTAATGACCTAACGTATACTTTAGGAGAATAAATCATTTTATTACTATTACAATACATATTTGAAATTCATAGTTACTTTCTATGAATAATTTTGAAAACTAATCTAATCTCTCTGTCTTCCTGGTATTAGGGATTAAACTCAGGATCCATTCTGTCTACTAGGCAAGCACTCTACCAGTAAGCTATATGCCTAGCCATTTTCAAAACTTTAAAAAAAACCAAATGAATACTACACAGGCTAATATACTTTTGTATACTAAGACAGATGAATACATCTGAGGGCTAATGAGGATAATACCTCAAATTCCTTCATTAATACTGATTCACTGTAACTATCGGCCTCCATAGACGAATGGCAAAGAGTAAGAATCAGAACCCCTATTGTTATGTGCTTTGAAAAAGCATCCCAAGTAATTCCGGTTTATCTCATCCCATTTCCTAAAGTAGATTAAAAAAAAAACCTCAGTGAAAGCTTATGAAAGTTGATCTACGTAAGACTGTATTAAACCAGGTGTGGTGGTACACACCTATAATCCCAGCACTCAGGAGGCTGAGGCAGGAGATCCTTGTGAGTTCAAGGCCAGCCTGGGCTACAAAGTGAGCTCAATGCTAGCCTGAACTATGTAGTTTTGACCCTGTCTCAAAAACACTGAAAAAAAAAAAAAAAAGACTGTATTATACACATTTATAACAATTTATCAAGAGAAGCAATAAACATTACGTATACTGTAGAAAGCTATTCAATAACTAGACATTAAAAATAAAAATGTGAGGTACACCAAGATCACAAATGCAGGTAAAACTCTACTTTGACATTAAATTTAATTAGCATAAAAGTAAATGTTATATGAATCCCTCTAAAGTGAATAAAATCAACTTACTAAAGATATATGAATTTAAAACTTAAAATTTAACAATTTTCTGTGATGGGTCTAATATATTTCAACAATTTACATTTCCATAAAACAAAACTTTCTTTAGCTTGGAAAGAAAAGTACAAACTGCAAAAATTATGGAGGTATCTGTCAGTTCTATAGGTGGTTCATCACATCATCAAAGCAATGTATTTCTAATTGCTGGGTAAAAAGCCAATCAGGAAAACAGTTAAGAGAACAAATCTTGTTAGGTGCGATGGCTCATGCCTGTAACCCCAGCACTCTGGGACACATAGGCAGGAGGATCCCAAGTTCAAGCCCAGTCTGGGCAACTCAGTAATTTTACAAGACCTTGTCTCAATTAAAAAAGGGCTGAGAATGTAGCTTAGTGTGAAGGTCCTGGGTTTAACCAGTACAAAAAACAAAAACAAAAATAAAACAAAACCAGAGAAGTCTTTAACTGTTAAAGGCAGGAGGGTGTGAGAACAACAGGACTGCAGTAATTGAGGCTAATAAAAATCCCAGCATGCTGGAAGCTGAGGCAGGAGGACCATGAGTTCAAGTCTGACCTGGCTACATAGCAAGACCCCATCTCAAAAAAAAACAAAAAACAAAAAAAACAAAATTTATCGTAGATCTATTCTAGAATAAACGACTCCTATATCTACTTTAAAAGGGCACTATTTAAACCAAGGGACAAAGTATACGAAAGTATCTACAATTATATTTTTCAATTCATCCAATATTCACTGATGTTTGCGATAGGCAGTGTGCTACCTGCTGTGATACAAAAATACAGTTACCATCTTCACCACCTGTAACTCAGTGTAGTAAGGGAGACATACATAAATAAATTATTAGAGATACCATGTGTGCTATGTAGCACAATGATCTACAGAGTGGCATCTAAACATGGAGAAATTTGCTACAGCTGTTTTCCATTTGATACAGTGAGTTTGAATTTTACGTAGTAGGCAATAATCAGTTACTATGATTTCTTTTTAAACTCACTGAGAATAGGAGCTAGTCTTTCTTTTTTTTAGACAGGGTCTCACTGTGTAGTTCAGATTGAGTTTGAACTCACCATATACCCCAGACTGGCCTTGAACTCAAGGCCATCCTCCGGCCTCAGGGTCCCGAGAACACAAAGACAAGAAACAACATGCCTACTAGCTACTGAAAGTCTCTAAAGTCAGACATGGTGCACACCTGCAAGCCCAGTAGTCCAGGAGGCTGAGGCAGGAGTAAAGGGACTAATACAGTGCTTATCCTGTTAACAAGTTCAAGCCCAGCCTTGGCAACTTAGTGAGACCCTGTCTCAAAATTAAAAATAAAAAATAGGCTGGGGATGTAACTTGGTATAGGCCTTGGGTTTGATCCCTAGCATGGCAAAAATAAATAAATTTTTAAAATTCAAAAGAATAAAGTCTTTGAACAGTATCAAATTTGAAAAACTAGAAAGAACTAAGAAATTCTCAATATTTAAATTCTTTTTTTGACCCAAACTAGCAAGTCTACTAAATATATAATGAGCACATGGTATGTGTGAAGTAATTTTTCATGTATTTTCCTTCCTTTTGTTCTAATTGGTATAATAGGATGGTCGATAGTTGTGGACTAAGTTCATATACTCTACATGACCTGAAGTAGTAAGCCTCTTTTTTATTTCTCCTTAAACAACACAATAGAACTTCATATGGAATGCTAGACATTCTGCAAAACAACTCAAATATCAGACCACAAACATAAAAAAATAGACAAAGAAAGGATAATAGCAATGGTGTTATGGCTTGTATCGAGATGTCCCCCCAAAGCCTCATGCAGTCATGCGTGGGGCTTTTCTGAGGTGCTCGATCTACAGTGTATGATGTTGGGATCGAGGATGTGATGCTGGGATTGATTCACAGGTGCTAAGATTAAGGGTGTGAGTGGTACCTGCCAAAAGGGTGGGCAGCCTGGATAAGATACAAGGGACAAAAAGAACTATTGCGTTTGTTGTTTGCCACTTGTCCACTGTCACTTCCTTGCTGCTTGCTGACCTCTGGTTGCCATGCTTTGCCATACACTGTTTTTCCTCTGCAATACCACCCTGCCTTGGAGCCAGCCAACTATGAACTGAAGCCCCTACAAACTATAAACTAAATAAACCTTTCCTCCCTTAACGTGCGGGTGTTGGGTATTTTGTCTCAACAGGAGAAAAGTAACTAAGACAAACAGTAACATTCCTCAATCAGAAAAGAGCATTTCAACCAAGGGAAAGTAGGCTGTATTGTCAATTTTAATCCTGTAGTATGAATCAAATGAAACACTATAATAAAGCATTTTTGTTTGCTTTACTAGCTCCAGATTCATTTGTGGGTTTTCATTTCTTAATTTTTCTACCAAAAATACACTTATATTTTCTTATGTCATTCTAATTATTAATTAACCTGAGTTGGTTAAAAACCTTGTGGGAAAGAAAAGGAATGTTTATAGAAGAGCAATCACTTTTTCTAGCCTTCATCTACTGGTAGTTGTTATGATTTAGATCTAAAATGTGCCCTAAGGGGCTATGGGGAAGGTGACTGCATCACAGGGCACAATACTCAGTCCAATGAGTCCACAGCTGAACGCGCTGTTAGGAAGTGGGGCCTGGCTGGAGGTGGATCACTGGGGGTGAGACCTGAAAGGGTATTTTCCTGTCCCTGCTCCTCCCTTTTCTTTCTGCTTCTGGTCTACCACGGTTGAACAGTTTTCCTCTATCAGGCCTTTCCACCTTCCATTTCTGTCTTGGAGCTAGTTGACCATGCACAGGACTAAACCCTCTAAAGCCATGAACCAGAACAAACCTCTCCTCCTAGTCAAAATTGTGAGTATTGGGGACTTTGTTACAGGCATAGAAAAGTGACTAATAGAGTGTTTACTCTCATTTCATTCATTACTTTGTTCTTTTTCCTCTTCTTCCTACCCTTGTCCATGCCTACTGGGTCAGCCTTAGCAGTAGCATAGGATGAGGGGGCCTGAGGTAGGAGATAATTTGCTAATTTTTGAGAAATAATACCAGACATACATTAAATATGTATGATGATTATATTAATCTTATATGTATTAAATAAGTATATGTTCTAGCTTTAGTATTCAAGGGTTTATTTGGTTTTGGTACTAGGGATTGAATCCAGGCCCTTTGCACCAAGCTACCTTCCCAGGACCCCCTTCACTCTTCTTTAAACAGGGTCTTTCTAAATTTCTCAGGGTGGGCTTGAACTGGAGATCCTCCTTACTCAGCCCCCCGAAGTACTGGGATTGATCAGTGGGTGCCATCACACTGGCTTTAAGTATTTTTTATTTTTATTTTTTGTAGTGCTCAAGATTGAACCCAGAGCACTGCACAAGCCGGGCAAGTGCTCTTCCACTGAGCTACATCCCCAGCCCTCAAGTATTGCTTAATATTCAGAATAACTAAAGAAGAGGTTCTTATGTGCCATAACTGATTTTTTGTTTTTGAACTGGTGTCAAGAAAAAATTTCACCAAGGCTTTATTTTATCATATTTAAGAACGCAGCTGCCTACAATTCCAGCTGCTCAGGATGCTGAGGCAGAGGGTCAAAAGTTTAA